CATTTTTTTGAATATTGGTATACAACAAGCAAAAACCATACATTAACCTAAAAAATAATAAATAAAAAAGCAGCAAGTGCATTAAAGAGACCGCAATGAACCTGAATTACTAATAAGCAAGCAATATATATAGTAAATAATATAATCTTTATAAGAATCATATATTGAATACAAACTACAATTTTGTTAACAACAACTTGCAAACAAATAACAAATAAGTACACAAATATTATAAAACACAAAGCTGGGCTAGCATTAAGCATACCTAACTCAACAATATAATATTATAGAATATATGTACTTAGAATAATAGAAAATATACAAACTCAACAACATATATCAGTAATAAGTTACTTACTTAACTATCTTTTATTCAGTACATCATTATTTAAAATATAATTACAACAGTTACAGAATGCAGCTGCAACAAACAAATCAATTCTATAATTATATCCAAAAACCTTTTTAATAGCAGAAGCATATATAACAACAGCAAAAATGATTAATACTTGTCTTATAAACAATATTGCATTTAATAATTAAGCCAATCTATAGTCAAAACTATTAACAACAATAGGCCTTCAATCAAAACCATTTTAAACAACATGTCAATAACATGCAAAATTAAAAATATACTAGTTAAGATAAATCTACACTATATTGAATAACTAGTACAAAAAAATCAAACTTTAACTTGAACATGGCATACCTGGCACATATAATACAAAAATACTAAGAGAAAAACAACCAAAATAGTTCAATAAATTAATATTGACAACAAAAGAATGGCTTCAGCACAATAGCACAATGCTTGTTTAAGCAAATCTATTTATTAGACAAAATACTACACTTGAAAAGAAAAAGTAGATAATATATAAACACAATATGATTGGAAAAATAACAAATATAAACAAAAAATATATAAACATTTAACATTGGGTTTAAAATAACTCAAACCAACTGTAATGATATATAGGCTGCAATCACTTTGACAAAAAAACCAAAAAACAATAAATGCAAAATAACAATACAATAACTTGCTAAGATACTTAGAATATAAGTTGACTATAAAAAGCAACTAAGAAGCTTAAAAACAAATATAATATATATAAAAACTATAAGAACAAAGAAAACAAATACAAATATCAAAATTAGTTTAATCAAATACTAATATTCTTAGGGCAAACTATGACAATATTGATAAAGCAATATCAGATCCAAAAACAAAACAAAGAATATAAAACCTGCACAAACAAATAAATAGCCTACAACTAAAAAACTTTGAAATAGCACTAAATATACAAAAAAAATATATCAATAGTATACTAATAACAACTGCATATTGGTAGATGACAAATAATGAAATTTAGCTATATTATACAACTAACAACTAGCTATCAAATCAAAAAACATTATGCTATGCAATATTATACATAATTCTAACACTACCACAAGATACCAATATAAATATACAATGCAACTACTGGTTTACAATATACATAAACAATTAGTAAAAGATACTCTAAGCTATAATATAACACAATTATTTAGAACAAATAATGGCAATGAATGGTTAACACTGAAAGTACTGGCTACAAGAAAAAACATATCATGGTCAATACAATGCAACCAATATATAGATAAACCCACAACAAGCACAAATCTGTATCAAACTGATATTACATACACAAATATAAAAAATAATATATTTACAATAAACTGAAAAAAAAAACAATTGAGTATATCCAAAATGTTTCATACAGCATATTCAAAATGTACAACAAACAGTAACATAGCACTTACAAAATCTAAACACCAAATGGGATCAAATACAGAAAAACATAAATTAGAACAACTTCTATAACTATACAAACTATAATAAAAGTTCAACAGCACAAAGTACAAATCTGAAGCATTTACAGATTAAATTATTTAAACTAAAATTTATTATAGATGAACTTTTTATACAAGTAAACTTATACAAATAATATTTTAAAGAACACATGACACAAAACTGTTATAGATGTAATAACAAATATGAAACAAATGTTTACTAGCTTATTTGTTACAAAAACAATATAAAATTGCAAATATTAGTTAAAAATACAGCAACAAAAACATTACAAAAATACAAGACATTTACTGAACCCAACCTACAACTGTTAATAAACATATTTAAACAAACAATACATAATGTAGCAGACCTAAATTCAGCAATACTAGCAATAACTGATCAAAACACAATAAATTAAGTTAATAAACTAGTAACAAATTACAAAAAAAACATAATTTTACATGTTATATATTGTACAAAATTATAAACAACATATACAAAAAACTATAGATACCACAATGCAAAGAAGTAAAAGAAATTACTTAAGACAAAAAAAACAAAAACAATAAAGAAAACAAATCAAAAAGAAAAGAAAATAAACAAATACAAGAACAAATAGACAATACAACAGTAACAAACCAAAAAACAGTAACTAATTGAGCAATAAACAGAATTAATAAATAGGTTCTACTATTTTAAAAGCACAATACACCTCTAGTCATTATTGACAATATTATAGACTAAGTGAGGTTTTTGACTCTGCTTAGTAAAGTATAAATTGTAGATAAAGCAGTCTAAGTTTTAGTTTATTAGAAGTAATATATTACTATATATTATTATCAATATACTACATGTTTTAAAATTTAATAAAAAAACAGAGGCAAGACCTTACTTTTAAAAAAAAAAAAATTTAAAAAGCTTGTACTGATTCTAAGTTCTACACAGCCTGACACATTTCCTATTATCACATCTTTCTCATATTAACATTATAACACTAATATAATAATGGCATTTTATATAACCTATCTTATTCAGTAATTTATTAATAAATAGTTGTGCAACACATTTGTGCAAAACCAAGAACATAACAATGTGTACTAGATTGAACAGAAGAAACCATTGATGTTATACATCTAATTCTTCATCTGGTGTGCAATATATAAAAAAATTATTTTACAATACCAGATCATTCTACTAGTATATATTATAATTATGATCCAATACTATTTTATTATAATAAAAATAAGGTTGGTATTGTAAAATAATTTTTTTATATGTTGTACACTGGGTAAAAAATCAGTTGTATAACATCAATAATTCTTTCTGTTACTAGATTGGTATATTATGATACTAGATTTTATAAAGAAATAATTATAATAATATTATTATAATACAAAATTAATCTGAAGAATATTATTAAAGTATCTAATTACTATGATGTACTACAATTTCCAGATGCAATTAGAAGCAATATATAATAAATAAACATATATGCATGGATAATACTAAGTTGAGCTACTCACATTTCTAAACCTACATTATAGAAAATCTAAAACATATATTAATCCTATTTGCAATCACTGCATATTACATATAGAAGACAATTTATACTGACTAAAATATATAACAAACTCTATTTCTCTTAACCAACTAATTCAATAAACTATATATAAGTTTGATATGAAGCACAAACTTGAAAACAACAATATATCTACTTTATTACAACAGTTTACCCAAACACAAAGTACCATACAACTTCTTTTCAAAATACAAGGTTTGATTTCTGACAACATGTTCACAAACTGCAACATTACTTCATGTTTACTTACCAACCTATTTCACAAAATATCAATTAATATATACAACCAAATATGAACAGAAAGATGTAAAGCAATACATCAAAATAGTTTACTAACAAACACACTTACTGTTACAATACCTGAACATCCAGCTACAGATCAAATAATTATAAGTAAATATGAAAATAGGCAACCATTTTTCATACTACAAATATATCTATCTTCTACATTGCAACACTAAACCTAGAAAAGGTCTGATAGCCTACTCTAGTAAAGTTTTAGGTTGAGGATAAATTAGTCCTAACTATAGGTCCCTGTAATAATTTATGTAAAATGTTTAATTAATGTAATACCAAATTGTTCAATAAAGATCGAGGCCAGGACTCACTCTTTAAAAAAAAAAAAAAAAAAAGGTAATATACAAAGTACAAAATAAAATAAACAAAAAATACTCAAGTATATCTCTCGATACATTAGTTAGCATTAGCAGCGTTTAATATATAATAATGTGCATGTGTTCAGTATCGATTACACCATTAATCAACATATATCATTTGGAAATACGTTGATAAAGATTAGAGTTCATAAACTTTTTTTACCTAAAAAAATACTTAATAAATATATGCATCTAATTTAATGAAAAAATAAACTTAAAAAAGCCATTTCATGAACTTAATAATTCAGTCAATAAGTCTTTTTTGTGTATTATACAGTTGATTTTTATAACGAACCTTTCAGATATAAATTTCACAATATTAATAAAGCAAACCAATATAATATTAAGACTTATTTACCCAAATCAAGTTAAACTGAAATTAGTTAAAATAAAATGGAAAGTTCACACAGGACCCTTATGTCAAGCAAAAATCGACCTTTGACCTTGAAATTTCTGATCTGGTACCAATAAATCTTGGAATCTTGTGTAACAAAACAAACAGCAAAAAAATAAAAATTCTTATATAGAGCCAAATTTTATTATGCTAACCAACTTCCGATTTCTAATTAAAAATGTTCAACATTTTAATTTACATATAGCACTTACTTTTTCATATTAAATATAGATAAATACTTGAGATACTCCAATCAAAGTATTTGGATCGGAAGGATCTGATTTTTGCTTAACATAAGGGTACTCAGTTCACACTGGTACGAATAAATTTTCAAATAGAAAATTTTAAAATATACATAATTAACATATCAACAATACAAGCAAAACTGGGAAGTATACATTACAGGCTTAAAATTCACAATAATAAATAGCATTTTTTAAGTCAATGACCAAACATAAAATTCAATTAAAATGACATAGTAATATCCAGAATAATCTAATCGTGCAATATTTAATAGTATTTTAAACTATACAGAAATTAATAGGAATCCTGAGATGAATCACAAAAATCGATCATCCAATCTGATACATCATTTAACTCTACACTTTGTACTTCATAAGGTAGCTGTGCAACTTTGTCGAATTGTACTAAAACCAAGAACGTAGTCAATGATCTATTAATGTACCTATTTTTTGCCTTATCAGATGTTCTAACAATAAATATTATTTATATTGGCATTTATGATAATAAAAGAATGCACAGATGATGACATTAATGGTATATTTTGTGTTATCGAAATATAATCTGGGCTGAAAAGAATAAGCACAAGGCCTTCAGAAAGTATTAAAATCTGCTAATATGAGCTATACCGAAGAAATAGTTTTGTGTTTATTTGCTGTTCTGACTGTATTATCGTTATTGGAATCATTTATATATCGTATAAATTTTCTGCTTATATATCGTATAAATTTTCTGCTTCACTTGATTTGAATAAATCAGGCTTGTGGTTATACCGGTTTACTCTGTTTAAATACACAATTTTAGTATATCAAGTTTCAACTATTCTTGGAATTAATTTCAATAATTCAAAGGTATTTATTTTGAAGCATGACAAATCGGGCGTCTAATAGTGTGTATAGCATACGTTATACACATAATACACGTAGCACTTATAAATAATTTATATACAACATTGTGCAAGAACAATTTTTATTAGAATGCTAAAGATGTTTCATATTCAAAATTTTGAGATAGGATACTTTCATGATTTAATCTAGAATATTCTAAAATTTTTTTTTGCGTACTGTACTGTACGCGGTACATCACTAAGCGCGACAACCTATATTTTACTAAATGCAATACCGATACTCCTCACATCTCCCGTTCCCGGTTTTGCGTGACAACATCGCACAGCTATCTTATTATGTTAGATTTGGCTGGTGGATATAGATGGGACGCGCGTGACGCATAGGATTTTTAATATGATTCCAAAATAAGATTATCTGGACGGCATTACCATAACGCACTAAATAATATCTTGCCTACATTAACATATTTAGCCAATTCCTAATTAGAATTTATTTATTTACATACCATTTCACACATATATATATTATAAGAATTTACCTTCTTTACCGTTGGTATCTTTTGCTTGTGTACCAAAAATTTTTAAATTGAGAAATTACCGTAATTTTGTCATTTTAGTAATTTTACGTAAGTTTTGTGTAAGTTTCTGAAATCAAAATTACATGTGAAACATATATGATTGCTTTGATCATATGCGCATCGATTTGATTATGCAAATTCTTGAATATCGACAGCTAAATAGTGCTGACACTATATAACACACATGTAAAATTTACATGTTACCTTGCATTGTTAGTTTATAAAATGTAATTTTCAACCATAAGTGAAATATGTTCCTGAGCTAATTTTACAGTTACACAGGCTCAAACCATAAAATTTTCATTTTCGCAATTAAAAATTAAAAAATTGAATTCCGACCAAAATTAATGAATCCCACACGAGATGCGATCATGCGCAGGATTTTTGAAGAAACCGCGATTTTCCCATCTCTACTGATTGGTGATTAAGTCTTTGGTTACTTGGATTAGCAAAGCCAGGTATGTAATGATAATAGTGTAATATTATGGACGGTTTATAAGATTAGAACTTAATATTTTATGAAGCAAACGAGACCTAATTCTCTCAAGGGCCATTTCGGCCTTTATTTATAATATAAATTTCCGTCTCTTACAAATTACTTTTTATATTTAATACACAATAAAACCATTTGCACCTATTATTTTTAAGAATGTTTAATTTCTATTATAACGACCTCTTGGTATTCAGTATGTCCTTCCGCATCCAAAGCACCTCCATAGTGCAATAAATTGCATTTAATGTATCTTGCCGTCATCGGATCCAATCTTATTGGAAAATAACCACTTTTTATTATTTCCACCTAGGTTCAAGGAAGTCAGCGTAGTGTTCTTGCAAAGAAATTTTGCAAGCAATTTTCCCTCATCATTACCGATTTGATTATCATAAAGGGTTAAGGAATTTTAGTAAAGATCCTCTAAAAATGTTTTAATCCAACTCGATTATGTTTAAGATTCAAAGAGGTCAAAGTAGGATTTTTCTTACTAAGGATCTTTAAAAGTTCATCCTTATTTATCTCACACATATTTATAGAAGTAATCATTTGATTACCACTAATTTCTTTTAAGCTTAAATGTGTGAGATTGTTACCACATCTTAAAAACATCGCAATCAAAGAAAAAAAACCACGTTTTTAAGATCTTCGATTTCACAACCTTCATGATAGAGCCAATTTCTGGCTTCACAATATAGGTCATTTCTAAATGATCCTATATAACTTGTATATTCAAATAATGGCCTTTAAATGGAATTAGATGCGTTTGCTCTTCAGCGTTCAGAAATCGAAGAAGTACTCTTATAAGCAGTACATTCTTAAACCGATTCGTTGGTTCACTCCGTAAAATCTCTACAACGATTCTACAACACTGACGATTCACAAGAAGTCGAAAAAGAAGAATATAAAATTAGAATTCTTGTATAACAATATACAAGATCTTATTGTTAAAAATCGAAAATTTGTCAAAATTTATACAAATGAGTAGCATCTTACGACTGGAGTTAGCCTCAAATTGAACTGTTTTTCATAGCGATTAACGTAAACTATAGCAAAAATTTAGTTAGTATAGTGAACAATAAAAGTTATATAAACTATAATTGTAAAGAAAAGTATATAAGGCCCACCTTGTCACGGCAATAAGTATTCTTGAATATTGTGAGCTGCAAAACTGTAACCCGGAAGCACATGAAAGGAGGTTAACTAGCGGCTATATTGATCACTTGCCCGAAACGGGAATTCCAGTATTATAAGTTGTAAAAGTCCTAAACGTTGTATCAGGTCTTTAAGGGATATCAGTATCAGTGGAATCAAAAGTATAATTAGTAAAAATAAGTATAAGCAAAATAATAATATATCATAGATAAGATGTATAATGCGTACTAAGTAAATGAAAGTATATAATAAAAGCGGTTCGAATTAGAAAAAAATATATAGTTCATGATTCCAATAAATCCATCTCTTTCATAATTACATATCTTCCTACGTTATAAATAAATGCTTACATTTCGATCTACTGCTTAAGTGGCATAAGTGATACGATCGTCGCTCTTGTAATTTTGATAGACGTAAAATGTGCCGTTACCCTGTCCGGTTGATTCTCGACATACTGAGGACTACCATGGTTGTTTCCAACTCTCCTAACGTACCGTGGATATTTGAGGTTATTGTATTCCGGTCTGAGGTCCAAGAGGAAGGTCCCAGCCGTGGTTTTGATTATAGTGGTAGCGAGTACAAGGGTTAGTATAGGAAGACTTAAGACAAGTAGGAAGAAAGAAGTCATACCTACAATCTTAACCCACTTGCCAAATATAACCGCCTCTTATCGACTAAGCCCATTCGTAGGTTACACGACATATCCGATTGTGGAGCGAATTTCGAGGTTGTCAATATGTCGTAAAATCGTTCGTCATGTTAGTTGAACTCTTACCTCGTGACTATTATATACCCTATCTTGTATCGAATAAGAAAGTAAAAGAGTTATCATTAGTAATAAGAACCCTGAAATATTAAATATAATCTGATTAGGCTTATTGTTAAAATCGTAATTGATCTGGATCGTGACACTATAATCACAGTCGCATTACTCCTAACAAAAGAAATAAAATATCAGTAAAATCATAATAAATCGACTAAATTACATGAGTGAGAGTAAAAAGCACGTTTAAGCGAAGCTAACACCATCGCTACTAACTCCTTAACCGTGGTTACTCAGACCAATTCCTTCCACATCTCAATCGTAGCTTGTTGATATATAGGTTTAGTTGGTATTAGTGTATAGTAAGTTCTTAGATATCGACTCTAGAAGTATTCCGATGAAGCTTGCACTTAACATGCAAACCCGGTTCTTGACCCATGCTACCAAAGTCTGTACCTATACGCCACCAACCTTTGTAAATCAGGCACATTTTTTTTATAGGGGTATGATTCTTGTAAAGTGCATCAGCTAATGCTTTCCTTCTTCTAATCCAAGCTTATTATTGCCTTCTAATCTGATCTTTATAAATATTTAAGATCGTGAAGGTAGTATTCTTACAAGTGCTTTTATTGCCTCATTTATTTTCTCTGATCCACACATTTAGAAAATGATCCCAGATTGAATAGTTTTTTTTTTTAATCTCCAACACAGGAAAATAGACAGTTGTAATATTGAATTATTTATGGGCGCAATTGGTTTATCTTGACTTGAGAAATACCACTATATTGGGTTGATGCTAGTGCTATCCTAAACCCTTTGCCAAAGTCTGAAACATTTTAGATTTTAAGTTTCGGTTTTGCCCAAAATCTGAAACTTCCGAAACTGGCCGAAAACCTTCTAAAACTTGGCAAAACTTATGAAACTATCATTTATACTCTAACAAAAAATGTTTATTATGAGATTTTGCTACATTAATATGTTTGCCTAAACAAATTCCTACTCTAACCTAAAGAAGTAAAAAAATTACTAACTTTCTTAATATATGAATTGCGAAAATCATTTAAAAGGAAAAGTTTTTGATCTTGCCTTCAAAAAGTACGGACATGTGACCGTATTTACAGTGTCCCAATAAATCTTCAAGCTAGTTTAAGTTAGAGTTGGCATTTCTATTGAGGTTATAATTGGAAAACTTTTTGTTAGGAAAACAAAGGTGTTTAGTATGCTGAGCTTTTGATTTTTGGTAAAATAAACGTTTTTTCTGATTATGTTCGTTACACCTGATCCTGAAATATTATTAGTTCGCGTAGCAAAAATATCACGTGTTCAGACTTTTTTGAAGCGATACTGGGATTATTATTTATTATTGTAGGGCGAGGCTTACATGCGCACATATGAACTCTAAAAACTCTCCTACTCCAGAGCAAACTCCACCTGTATTTATAAAAAAATTATAGGGAAAAAAAGGAAAATTCGAATACTTCTCTACGGCTTTGACCATTTTTCTCATTGACATATGCCGTTTTACCTTTTTTTACTAACACTTTCCCTTTTTCTACGACCCAGCCGTCGTTCTATTAGCAATTTTCATTGAGTTTCATTCTTCCAACGCCGACACACAACCTAGCATATGACGATGCATTTACACGGCCACAGACTTCACCTATCAAGGTAATATTACCTTGACAGATGTCAACCAAATCGGGCAGGTGGCTTTTCTCAATGGGATCGGCGCTGTCACTTAATAGGGAACCTCGGTCACGGGCATCGTGGTACGACGGTTTTTCATGGTGCATTTCGTGGATGGGTTCTCATGGTTCTAGGGTCGGTTTTGCCCATAACAATAGAGATGTAAATTGAGTTTTAACTTTATAAAAAAAAAAATAATAATAATACTAAAAAATTATTCGAATAAAAAAAAAACTTATTCGAATATAAAAAATTATCCAAATAAAAAAATTTATTCAAATAAAAAATCTTATTCGAATAAGAAAAAATTATCTAACCGAAAACTACTCCAATAAAAAAAAAAAAAACTATTGTAATAAAAAAAAACTATGCTAATAAAAAAACACATTTTAGCAAAAAATCCTATTCTAGCAAAGAAAGAACCTATTCTAGCAAAAAAAAAAAAAAACTACTCTAGCAAAAAAAAAAAACCATTCTAATTATTCGAATAAAAAAAATAAAACCTTATCTAAGAGAAACCTATTCTAAAAAAAAATCCTATGCTAAGTAAAAAATAAAAGTAAAACCCATTTTGGTTCAAGTCAATATAGGTGACCTCTCTGGCAAAAGTTCCTAAAACGCATTTTGCCACTACCGCTACATTATTATGATTTTGGCCGAAATTACATCATCATATGATTACGTGATCTAACGAATAAATTAGTTTCGACCAAACCAACATTTTGCCAGAGGAGTCACCTATATTAAACGATCCATTTTTGATTTTCGTCTCTAATGGTGCAAGGTCTTACGTAATAGTGCACTTAATGCTGCCCATGACAGAGCCCACCATATAAATACAGAAGCTCACCTTTATGCTATTAGCCAATACTATATCATTAGAAACAGGAAGTGCAAATAGACGTTAGGAAGGTGTAAGTCGGCACCAAAGTAACTTGCTAAATCTATCATCGGCTATATTCGCGGTCGATATGGTATAATTAGTGAAGCTCATGTAATATTAAAGTAGAAAGTAATGAATGTGAGAATCTGTACAAGAAAATATATAAAAAGAACCAAAATCCTACCTTCAATAAATGAGATCAGTTAAAGCTCAGCATTGTAAAATGTTTGGCTCTACTAATTCTCCCCCTCGGCAAGTAAAATACATAGTAACGGGCAATAAATCCCGTGACGTAGTCGAGAGTTCTAATTGACTCAAGTAGATTTTAATACATGAAAGATTTTAAAAGAGCAGATTTTCTTTAATAGCAAGATCGCCGGTTCGCATTATATTGGAGGACAAAAAATGTGGAAGGATCACACTCGAAGTTCAACCACAGACTCTTATGGGATGCCTCAAGAAGCATAATACGAAACAAGGACACCTCCGGTGAAATTTCGTCAAAAAACAAGAAACTCCAGAAAAAAACGGTTCCGGTAATATCATATTTGCCTGCTTTTGATATTTGATGGACGGTTAAGTTTGTTCTTCTTATGGGATGATTTAACGACTTTTCTTTGATCAAAATCCAATACAATGTTATCCTATCAATATGTTCTACTACGGTCACTTCTCCAGTGTCATGGTTAGCACGGTTGACCGACTTGAGTAATTTTAGCAGCCGGGCCAGACAGAGGGTCTGGAATCGACACATATTACTAATTCAAAAAGAAATTTTATTTGCTATACAAGATTGTATTCAAAAACAGCGTTAATATAAAGACCATTTTTTAAGCTGCTTGCTGTTGAATTTTCGGTTAACATCACTTTTTGAACTCTTGGAAGAGAGAAACGAATAAACAAATTTGAACTAATTTGATTGGCAGATGGAAATCAAGAGATTCATTTCTCAGGGGAGCCTTCAGCTGGGAGGTGATGTTAACCGAATAATAAACTTCGAACGGCCTTATTAAAAAAGAAAGATAACAAGTTATTTAGCAAAGTAGGTATGTACCAGTAAGATTTTTCATTCTCCACACTTTCAAATCAATTTCAACCTCAAATGCACTATTGTATTAGCCTCAAATTGAACTGTTTTCCAATAAAGATTTTCTAAAAATTGCAAAACTTTGATATCGTCATTTTAACCAAAAGAGTCACCAATAACGTCGATATACAGTCGTACCCCTAAATGCATCCAGTCAGAACCATAGTGAAAAAAAATTTTAAATTTTGGACTTAGAAAGGTTTCAATTCTAGAAAATAATTATATAGGATTCTTATAAGTTGGCCAAACCGTACTGAGAAAAAATTCAAAGAACCATTTTTTTTTCTAAAAACTTGCATATATCTCAAAATTTTACTTATAAAACTGTTCTTAACACTTAATAAAAAATTCCTGGCAAAATTTTACTATAAACGCCATTACCTTTGTTGCCTTCGCCACATATGCATGTGCTCTAACTTCGAATTAATTTCTAATAAAATAATTATTAGAGAGAGTCTCATGAATTTAAGTTTCGTTACCCGTGCTGATCCGACTAGTAAACTGCTGCAAAACCTGAGCAATTTACGATCAAACTGACACAGGTCTACAGTCCAATACGGTTAAAAAAGGTTGTAGTTGGTGTATAGTATAGTTCAATGATACTGTCGTAAAAGGAATTACCGGGCACAAATGTACATTTGTATATTTGTACATAATGATCAACGTAAAATATAGTAAAAATTTAGTTAGTATAGCAAACAATAAAAGTTACATACACGATAATTATAAAGAAAAATATATAAGGCCTACTTTGTAGTGGCAATAAAGAATTAACTCTTGGAGTTCGAAAATCTTTCAAATTTTAAAAGTGTTTGTCCCTAATAAGTATTCTTGGATATGTTCCCTTCACACTGGAAAAATAGTTCGTAGTATTAGTGAGCCTTGACCTCGTGACTATTATATACCCTATCTCGTATTAATTAAGAAAGAGAATAAGTTATTAATAGTAATAAGAACCCTTAAATCTTAAATACGAACCCGATTAAGTTTGATTAACTATTGTTAAAATCTATATCAAGTAATTGATCTGGATCGTGGCTCGTGATTACGTGACATCATGAACCGAATCCACAATAGCATTATTCCTAACAAAAGAAATAAAATATCAGTAAAGTCATAAGAAATTGACTAAATTAAATAAGCGAGAGAAAAAGCACACTTAACTGAAGTTAACACTATCGCTACTAACCTCCTCAATCGTGATTACTCGGACCAATTCCTTTCACACCTCGATCATAGCCTTGCCGATGCGTATAAGGACTTAATTACTATAATTTTGGTTAGAGTAGTTTAGTTGGTATTAGTGTGTAGTAGGTTTTTAGATATCGACCCTACATGTATTCCGACACAGCCAACATGCAAACCCGGTTCTTGACTAGTGATGGGCAATGCACATGCAATTATGATACGTATGTACTTGCTTCTTGACGTTGCAGAAGTTGCTAACTTATATTGCTGTTACGGTTGCTGTTGCTTCTGCTACTGCTTGCTATTACGGTTGCTGTTGTTCATGTTTTAAATAGCAGGAGATTAAAAATAAGATAGTGATGAATAAAAAAAAAAACATGGTGTTAAACTAAACCGATTTTACTGTGATTGTTCGTGTAACCACGCCAGAGTATCTTACGTATTTTATAATTCCTAATTTGGTAAGATTTCCTGCACTATAACGTTAAAGAAATTACGTATTAATTACATTTTATATCAAATTTTTATGCAAAAATTAAAATTTTACTTAATAAATATTTTTAAGAACCTAATAAACAATTGGATATATTGAATCTACTTCACTTCAATGAATACTTATACTAGTCTATAAGTATTGAATTAAACCCTAAAATCGCTTTGAAAAATGTGATAATTGAAAATATTAATATTAAAGAAAATAGATACTTGAAACGAGTTCACGTGTTTCAAGAAAAATCAACAGCGTGATACATCTGATCAGAACTTACCCAGTTAAAGAGATCAGAAGTTAATTTTTAAAGAGATGAGATAGTAATTTTAGTAGTCAAAAATTACCAAACATGAGATTAAAAACCCACATAATTTAAGGAAGAAAAAACATATTCGTAACAACTGTTATATGTAACAAGTCAATCATATTTCGTTTTAAGGTTTGGGTTACACGAATTATTAATAATTTTTATTAAATAAGATGTGTAACAGGCTGTTACAATTAGATTCTTCCTTTAAGAAATATAAAGACGAATTAATTTGTGGCATCTAAGTTAAAAACTTAATTCACTTGACATAATTAGCAATTAAAAAAATTTTTGAATCTTGAAATAGAAAGCCAATAATACTGTATTACGTCATAAAGCGTATAAAATATTGGTTTATTTAATTGAAAAAAAAGCTTTGTATTAATAAGAAAGCTTTAAACAGTTTCAACCCTTCTGTAATGAATTGACGGTGAAAAAAATTTCGGTATAAAAAATTGATATGTTTTATTAAGAACCTAGAAAGAACTATTGTGTAATTTAAATATATAAGTTCATTATATTCAGAGTCGACTGGATATACTGTATTAGCAATTTATCAAGCTAATTAAATTTGAAATAAAATTATACTTACTATCTAAATAATTTATACAATAATAAAATCTAAAAAAATATAAAAAGTGTAATTAATCTCTAATAGAATATTTTAATATAGATAAATATAATGAAATCTATACTTACTCTCTAATCATTTTAAAATTTAAATAATAAATTATTTAGTTAATTAATATAAAAATATATAACTATAAAGTAAAATTTAGTGTACATTTGCCGACTAATATTTTACAGAATATACAAAAACATATGCTATAAGTGATTAAAGTAACTGATATTTATCATTGAATAAATTTATATTTACAATCTAATATTTATAAAATATAATAAGTTATTGAAGTTATTTGAAGTTATTTTGATACTTTTAGTAAAAAATCTATACTTACTATCTAAAAGATATTAAATATTAATAAAACTTCTATTTAAAACTCTGTTTATATAAAATATATATTGTACAATACAAAAATATTATTTCATACTCACGAACTAATAGTTATAAGATAATCAATATCTATTAGTAACTTGTTATAAATAATATGAATAAAATTGCAAAAATTTGCAAAGTATTTGTCAACATAAAAGATTAAATTAAAAACACAATAACTTTACTTACGGTCTAAAATAGTAATTAATAATAATGAATAAAAATATTATTAATATTACTTTTAATGAAGTAACTATAATCTTAAAAATAAATATTAAAGTTTATATTTACAACCTAATAATTTGTAAAAAGATAATCAAATAAACTTATAACTATAAAAATAAATATTAAAAAATATATATATACTTACGAACTAGAATATAAAGTATTATTATATTAGTAAAATCGATTTATAATAATTGTAGCTATTATATTGTCGTAAAATAATACTAAAGTGCATAATTTTGATGTAATTTTGAATTATGGATATTGTATGAAAGAAGCTCAACCGGGACCATTGTTAAATAAAGCACATGTATTATTTTACGAAAATATTATATAAAAGCTTGAACATAATACTTACTGCCTAATAATTTTAATAAAGTATACAATTATATATTAGCGAGCTATTAGTTAGTTATAGAATCTAAAATATATATAATAAAATCTGTTCTAACACCCTGAAAAATATATTAAATAATCAATATTTTTATAAGACTTGTACGATAAAAATTGATTTAAAAAAATTATACTTACTTTCTAATATCAATTTATTAAAAGTTATTATTTAATGAAACTAATATTTAGAAGTTTTAATGAATTAAATGAACCTAATATTACCGCCTAATAATTATAAAAAAATATTTATATTAATATTAATTGATCAAGAATTTTATTCAAATTAGAAAGGATGTTTATAATAATAAGCAGTTAAACTCACATGCTGGTAATTTGTATAATAAGAACATATAATGTTAGCATATAATTATAAAAATAAATATAATAAAAAACAATACTTACCACCTAATAATTCGTACAGTAAAATATTATATAAATAATGTAAATCAGTTGATTAATAATATAATTAAAAAAATTAATTTATATAAAATTACTTACAGCCTAATAAATTAATGGAACAATAAGTTATTAATCATATAATACTGTTGTTTAATACTTCCGTTATAAAAATTTAGCTTAAAATAAACCTATACTTACAACCTAATAATTTAAAAAATTAATAATTCTATTAAATAATTACAATAAATTACTGATTAAAAGCAAACCCTAAATGAAAATTACTCGAAAATTTTATGAAAATATTAATAAAATTGGAATTGAATATAATTAAAATCTTCGCTTTCATTAAAAAAAATAAAATAAAATAAACTTTGCATCCTTATTTTATTTTATTTTTTTTAATAATATTAGGTTGCATTTAATTCTGTAATATATGTACATAGTTCAAAATACTGTAGAAATAGTAAATACTGTATGATTACCTTCTATAAATTTAAAAAAAATTAAAATTATTAAAATCAATCAATTACGTTATTTAGGAACACTTCTTTTTAAGCTGGAATTATGATACATACTTACCAACTAGTATTTAAAATAAATATTAAAATTAATTAAATTAAGCATTATTACTAGGTTAATGTGTAGCATTGTATGCCCGAAGCACATGATAATCATCATATTGCAAAAACGCGTGATTGCATATTTTTTGTTACACTAAAGTACAAATATAGACACGCGTGCGGACGAAGAAAAATTTTCAAATTACGTTTTTGGTGCATTGATAATTATTTAATCAAAAACGTAACTATTGATGCAACAAAAACGCAACTTTTGTATCGCCGTGACTAAAAACTAAATGTCCTCCGCTACGCTCCGGACAAAAATATAGTAAAAATCCATACTTACGAGCCAATATTTTCTAAATATAAAATTAAAATATTACATAATTTAAAAGTGTAAAAAATAAAAATATATACCTGAAAATTTTAAAATGCAATACGAATAAATTAGTGAATTTAAAGATTGAAAAAAACTTTAAATATAAAATTGATTCTAATGAATTTACATACCAGCTGTAATTTATAAAAACATATCAATATTTATATTAATTAGTTAACTAATTAATAATGTCGTAAAGTTAAAAAATTGTATTGAAAGTAAAAATTATACTTACAGTCTGATAATGTTGCTTAGAAAATATGGCGATGTAAATGAATTAATTAAGTTGTAAAAAATTGTTCACTAACAATTTATGTTAAATAGATTAATTATATTATTAAATATCGATTACCAAAAATATTATAGAAATTTATACTTACATCCTAATAATTGTGATAGATTAAAATCAATCAATTATATGATTTACGACTTGTGACTATAATAAAATTAGGATTAAATAAAAATAAAAGATCTTACTGTACTTACGTTCTATTTTTTATTTTTTGTTTTAGTAAATGAAGAATAAATTATTAAATTAATTTACTGTAAAGTGAGATGACAGCCACATAGAGTAGATAGTGAATATTGCATGGTTAATAAAACACTGGCGCATGCATGATACCTGGGATAATTTAGTGGGTATATAAATAGGTTATATATTTTTTTTTCATAAAGATCGATGTATCACCACCTTATTTCTAACCAAAAGGCATTATCTACAATCGTACAATAGCGATAATAATAGAAATATGTATGAGTCGTAAAAATTCATTAAATAGATTTTACCTATAATATACCCTTATTAATAACACAAGAGAACAAATGGCTCTAACTATTGGATCATTCGTAAAAATAATTTATAAGCCTTTTTAACCATGCATATTTTTGCCATATATCCTATCATTTGTGATCTTACTTTTAAATAGTTTGTTAAATTCTAGTGGCTGTCACTGATGCGTCAAATAAGTTTAAAAATATTGCATTTAATCACATTTAATCCTATACTTACCGACTAATTATTTATGTCAGTGAATATTAACCAGTTATTAAAGTCAATAATGTCACTGTCTTATTTTAAAAAATTTATACTCACATTCTAATAATTTATTAATAAATGAACATTAAAAACAGGGAATATAAAATAAAAGTAATAAAATTCATACTTACTGACTAATATTTAATAATAGATTCGTATTAATATGAATATTAGCACTATTCAGAGGCATGTACCGTAAAACTCAAAAAATAAGCACCACACCTTCTACCTTGCTTTTTTCAACTCAGATTAACAGGAATAACTTACGAATATTTCCACTAATCTGGATTGAAAAAGTAGGATAGAGGGGCGTGGTGCTTATTTTCAGAGTTTTACGTTAATTATTAAAAATTAGTATAATTAATTTATATTTACCAGCTAAGATTTTATGTAAAAATTTTATCAAATAAGATATAGTGTTATTCAAAATGCGTAGTTAAACTATACTTACAAACTATATTTTATAGAACATATGATTAATTAATAATATTTCTTAAAAAAAATGATTGTTAAGCTAAATCTACTCCCACTAGCTGATAATTTATATAAGCATGAATTTTTAAATCTAAATAAAGGCGTGCTGTCTGAAATAAAGTCTATACTTGCCACCTGATAGATTAATAAATAGAATATGTAAAATGAAATAAATTTAGAAAATATTAGCTTGTTAATAAAACTTAAGTAAAAATGTTAATTTAAAAGATAATAAATAATAAACAGCTAAAATTTGTAAGAATAAATAAAAGATATTAGGAAGTTTATTCAAAAAACAAATTATAAAATATTACGGATATTATAAATTTTTATTACTTTGTTTATTAATAGTGTCGAAATGGGAGTAGGCATGGTAATATTAGAAATAAAAACCAGAATGATAACGAAATCGAGGTAGAATTTTTTTAACATCGTGACAAAAAATTTTAAGCGTAAATAATATGAATTTTGTATAGGTACAGTAAATATGAATTTTTTTGCAGGTAAAAGTGCAGTTCTGTAACGCCTATATACCTTTTGACGGTCGATTTATACACACAAACACAGTTACTCTTAGTACCATATGATGCGGAGTAAAGTATCCTTCGTGCCAAATAGAGTAGATCTCCTTCTTAGTTGTGTATTAATTTTACCTATAAGTAACTAAATTAACTCAATGCCTATGATGTTTACTAACTTAAATACGAGCGGTACTCGCCCATATCTATATGAGAACTGCATAAGTACGGTAGTTTTCATATGATTGACATCACGATGTTTTACAGTGAGCTTGTCGACATATTATGCTTAAGTTCACTTGCTTAGCTAATTCGCGTAGAATGGAGCATCGTACAGGCACTGCCACAGTTTATACGATGAAGTATTTAATTTAAGCAAAGCTACCTCTTTATTGGAGAATCTCGTTTCCTATATAATACAGGATTATGACTGTTACATTTATACGTAGTTAAAAATTTTATAAATGTGACTAATAATTGTATTTGTATATGTATTCGTGTAAGGATTGCATATGTAGACTATTTCACTGCGCCTTGTTTAATTTACGTGGCATATACCCTAAAAACTTTATATGTAACATACTATTAATAAATTTTTTTTTGATTTCATTAATCCTACTTTATTTGTAATAGTTTAAATGTATTCGTCAGATTTCTTGGGCTAAATTTTTTAGAATTGGAATATAAAAATGCTGCCTTGTATAAATTGACCTTAAAATAATAAATGTCAAATATTATTGATTTAATTTGATTAATAATATTTGAACATGTTTACATGTTTTGTCATATTTATATGTGTAAAATGGATCACATTACAAGAAATAAATTGGATGTTAAAAAATTTTTATTCACGAAAAGATCATAAAAAATTACTGATCGTGTAAGATTCATATAATTGTTTGCAAATGTAAAACGACATCTGTATGTAAAACTATTAGACATGAATATAATCATTAGATAAGGTAGATGGGTGATGCGTTTCTTTTTTTATACCAAAATTTCTAACGTAAAAATATGGTAGCAACATCTGTAGCATGTTACTTGATATTCTAATTGCTAATGTCTACAACCTTACTTATAATAAGCGTAAATGTAACTGCCACCAGCCCCAGCACATAGGTCTTTATAAATAACATTCCATCCTTTATAATATGGTGGTGACTTTCTTTTACTTTCTATAAATATGATTTTAAAAATAGGTTGTTTTTCTACTTCCCCAGTCCTCCATATGAGGTAAATGTATTTCCCACCAACACCACTATTAATATCAACGTCAATTGACTCCCAATGAGCAGGCGTGTGTGGTCCCGCGTAATCTTGGATCAAGAAATTAATACTTGTAACGGGTTGATGATCTTTCTCATAATGCATACCGACGTATACGAACTTGCCACCATGATGAACGTTGAGATCCTGTGGAGACCATTCCATAGTATCTGTATTCGGTGGTGGATATTCGTGATCCCAAGCTTCAACTGAAAATCCAGTTAATGGAATCATTTGACTTTCATACTTATACAGTTGTGAATGTGAAAGCTAACAAAAAAAAAGATTATAATTGTTAGAGTATTATTACGTATTGAATAAATGGAACAAAGGTAATTAATTTTTTATATATTTAAAAAACAATACGATTTTTGTCTTCTTTTTTTTTTTTTACAATATTTTCACTATTCCTTACCAGAAGAAAAATTGCAAGTCCTATAAGAGATGCGAAAGACACTTTTACTTTATTATTTGTACTTTGAGATATAGTAAATAGCAAAAGAATTAGAAAAGAGCACGCAGCCGCTGCAAAAAAGTCGACAAACCATGTAGTAATAAAAAACATTAGTGAATTAAATCTTCTATTAATTTGATTAAGTTTTTTTATCAAATCTTATAGATTTTTTTAATAGAAAAAGCGTTATAAATCAATTTGAAAAGATAAGAACAAGAAAAATCAACATTTCATATTCTTGAAAATAGAAAAAAAATCATTAAAATTACGGCATCATGTTCAACAATTCTACACGTATCTGATTGGATGATATCATCTTATATTTATACATTGACTTTATAAAATATTGTTCTATCATTTACACATTACCTATGGCGAATGATTATTACTTATTATGTTTCGCACACGACTAAGTTTAAATTTTCGCTGAACAGTTTTTCTTTTCGCTTAATAATGGTAAAATTATGTTAAAAACCTACTCAACTATTAAAATACAGTTTGAATATGAACTTTGAATAAGCAATAAATAATGCTGTACTGATTATCATATAAACAGTAACATTTTCTACCACATTTCTAATACAAATTCTTTCGATTATAATAGATGAAATTTGCGCTGAATTTTGGTAAAACCCGCCTTAGATCATCAGGTTAGGGTAAAATCAACAAAAGGAACTCATAATTAGACATTTGTATGATTGGCTAGTGTAAATCAATTGCCTGAGTAACTTATTTACAAACTTTAAAGTACTTTTTGAGAATGTAGCGTTTCATTAACTAAAAACCATCGTAAATACTACCAATATTTGCAGAAGAGTGTCAACGTTCTTATGTAAAAATAATCAAAAAAAATAATCAATAACCTGGAGAATTTCACTTAGAAGTGAATATTTACTACTCATTACTATATTGGCTGTATATAAGTGTTAAATGCCTGAAATTGTTAGCTGAAAAGACTAAAAGAACAATTAAGACGTAAAGTTTTAAGTAATGAAGAGCTTTTTATTGTCGTTTAATTTATTCTTGCATATTAGATTTATAGGAATTAGATCTGGTAACATACAGTTTTTTTTTCTATTTAAGTTTAGTATGTCTGTTATTTAGGTTTGGTTCGTTTTCAGATTAATATTCATGGGTTACAACGGTCAGATTATTGTAGTTTATAAACTCATTTGGTTATTATAGTACATTTTGTGTTTGTCAACCGTAAATTAAAAGTTCTAGTTTATATATCGTATATTATTTAATGAATCCGGTTTTTTTTTGTGTGTATTTATTAGTTTATAAGCTTCTTTATAAGATGTTTTCGGTTTCAAATAGTATTAACGTAGTAACGATAAATTTGATTTATAAACTGTGTAATTTGATTGGTTAATTGCCAACGGTTCATCAAAAAAACTTCACAACATTGGATCACTCTACCGTCAGTCTTATAAATATAATAATAATATTCACCTGTTGTGCTATACTGATAACCCAGTATCAAGAATGTGGGCGGACCGCACATTAAAGATAAACCCTAGTGCTGCTGCGCACATAAAAATTTTTAATGTGTGCAAGAAAAAAATAGTCCTAAGTAAGTAGCACAATCATTTTGTTATATATCTTCATTATAAAAATTTATCTATTTTTAAAATTGATGAAATCAGATATCAATAAATATTTAAAGATATAATTTAATTTCAATATTCATATAATATCATGATCATTGACGTTAGTTAACAAGTTAGCTTCATATTATGAATTTAAAATTTTAATGAACGCATTGCGTCCATAATTTTAAGACATATGTGTGCGAGGCGCATAGGCACTCCGCTCCTTCTTCTAATTTGTTACTTCAGCGTGTAACTATAAATTATATAGTTATGTATATAGTATTGATTGCTGTAAAATGTAATCTTGATTCCTGTAAGAATTGGAAGATCTTATGTTTTAACCATTTATACGGATTTGGATAAACTAATTTGCAAATATGCGTATTTGCAATGTAAATGTTTACAATATACATATTTGCAACATGCTTTCGTAACTAATGGCTCTAATGAATAATTAACATAGCATTTATCCAAGCTTCCAATGTTTTTTTTAAACTGTACTGATATAAATTTATATATTTGTCTTTTAACCTTTTACACTTTCGTGTCTAATTTTTTACCGGGCAGATGAACTGATAATCACTGATCATCAAAGACTGCAGCGAAAGACTGAGCGAAAGAACTTACAGAAATGTGTCACTAACCTTTTAACGAATATTGTTATTAATACTAATCATATTAATAAGTAATTGATTTACATACAAGAACTTTTTAAGGTCAAACCTCATCTTCAATATGATTAGCTAATTATCATAATAGTGATCAGCTATAATTATGTTTACGCCATCATCAAATTGTTTTTTTATAAACTTTATGTAGTCATATAAAGTTATATAGGCCTATAAACCCAATGTAAACTTATATAATAAGAATTGTTATATGTAAACTACGTAAATTTTATATCTAATTTTATTTATTATTTATATAAATATAAAATCCATATAAATATTATTTATATCTATATAGAAATGACTTAATTTACTTCAGCTATTTTTCAAAAGTGGCTAAAGTAATCACTGATCGATGCACTAAGTAAAAATGTTCGACATGCTCGAAAACCTTCCCCAAACCCCTAATTTAAACTTTAAAATCTAATCCTAGCTTTAATATTTTAAGTTGCTATTTTACATAATTCTATATAGAAATATATATAGATTTATATAAATAGATATTTAAATCTACATTGGATTTATAAAGCTACATAAAAATTTTACATAATTCTACATAAAAACAACTTCGTGATGGCAAAATTTTTGTTGAAAACTGAATATGCAAATCATAACGTAATTTAAGTTTCAATGCGATTAGCGAGTGATCATAATGTCGTTCATTTATTTTAATAAATCAAAATAAAAATTGTAAACTATACTTGAGCGATTCTTCTACAGTATTATTCTTCTATTTATCAAATGTCATTGTAAAAAATTAACAAATCAAAAATATAAAAGAAAAAAGAAAGCTATCCGATCGAGAGACAATTGTATTAAATGTCGAAAAAGTAATAAGAAACTGTCGCCGAAAAGAATTATAATTCTTGTCATAAGTTAAATACAGAAAAATATCAGCCAGAACCCACTAGTTTTAGGTATTCAGGTTGTCTTACCAAATAAGAAATTATTGGTGGAGCAAAGGTTAAGAGATAATAAGTTCTGCGATCTTTTCCTATAATTTTATTTCAATAAAACTCTATAAAGAGTAAAATAATAATTTGTTGGCATCGAGGATGAGGATCCATGACAAGTTACTTGTATGACCTCTTTGATACACAATTAATAGCCAAGCCAAGATTATTTGTCGTATAAAAGTAGCTGTAAATCGAAATTATACTTTTTTAATAACAAAAATACTTGATTAATATAAAATTTATCAAGTTATGAATATTTATCATAATGATAAATACAATTAACCCTACTTAAAGTATTTTCCACCAAGTAAAATTTATGACATAGTGCAGGTTGTATATGATCAACCTACACAAGCAAAATTATATTTGTCGGGTTTATTTTAGTGTGCTCATTAAAGTAACATCTTTATTTATTTATTTATTTATTTATATTGTCTAGAGCCTAAGGACACAATTTTTATACAAAATGGTCATTTTTGATGGTTTTTTTTTAGTATAGTATTATGAAATGGTGATCGACAAAAAATTCGATGTTACTTTTTTGATGTTTTGGGCTAGGTAGACAAAAAATAGGTTTTGCGACAAATTGATTTTTATATTATAAAATCTATATTATTTCAAAGGAAAATAAATTGAGTCATCCGTTAGGCTCTATAAATATAAATAAACAAAAACAAGACGTTATTTTAAAGAGCACGCTAAAATAAATCTGACAATTATAATTTTATTTATGTAGGTTGGCTTGTTCCAGAGTTATTGCAATATAAATTTTATATTATTTCTAATTATAAAAGAATTTGATTAATGATCCACTAATTAGACTTGCATGAAACACTCTAATCGATTAAGCTTATAATACACGTGATACGTTTCTATTTAGAGATGCTCATGTAACCAACTATGTACCAATAAAACTATTGTCATCATTCATACAACGTTTCACGACATTTTATATTGGTTTATATAAAGGTAACAATCCTAATTTACCGTTATACTATATTCATAGTTCTTTCAAAATGATAAAGTTACCAAACGAATGCTTTTTTGAAATATTTGATAATTTTCGAACTAATTATAAAACCTTATTTTCTTGCCTTCTTGTAAGTCGTCAATGGTGTAGATTTATTATACCAATATTATGGAGTGAACCTACAAATCACTTTGGTGATAAAAGATTTATAAGAATATATTTGTTAGCATTAAATGCTGAAGAGAAAGCTCTATTAATCCCCTTTAAACTTATTTTTCCAAATTATCGAAAGCCATTATTTGAGTACGAAAGTTATACTACATCTATTGGTTTTTATTTGGTCGATGGAATCAATGATTGGCTTATAAATGAAGGATATGATGTAAATTTTAACGAAAAAAATCAAATCGTAAATAATATTGAATGTACTTTAGTTGCAATGTTTCTACGAGCAAGCAAAAATCTTAAACATTTAACTCTTAATAATATTACTAATAAAATGATATCATCAAATGCACTTTTCAAAAGTACCACTTTAACTTCTTTAAATCTTGAATCTAATAAACTTGGACCTGAAGGAGGAAAAGCATTAGCAGATGCACTTTGTAAGAATACTACACTGACTACTTTGAATCTTGAATGGAATAACCTTGGACCAGAAGGTGCAAAAGCATTTGCAGATGCGCTTTGCAAGAATACTACGTTAACTTATCTGAATATTAATTGTAATAACATTGGATCAAAAGGTGGAAAAAAATTAGCAGATGCACTTTACAATAATACCACGTTAACTTCTCTGGATCTTGTTAGTAATGAGATTGGACCTGAAGAAGGAAAAGCTTTAGCAGACGCTCTTTGTAAGAACACTACACTGACTTCTTTGAATCTTAGTTTGAATAACCTTGGATCAGAAGGTGGAAAAGCATTAGCAAACGCATTATGCAAGAACAGCACATTGACTTCGCTGAATCTTGAATCTAATAACCTTGGATTAGAAGGTGGAAAAGCATTATCAAACGCACTATGTAAGAACAGGACGCTTACTTCTTTGGATCTAGAATCTAATAATCTTGGACCTGAAGGAGGAAAAGCATTAGCAAATGCACTTTATGAGAACACTGCGCTGACTTTTCTGAATCTTGATTGGAATAACTTTGGACCAGAAGGTGGAAAAGCGTTAGCAGACGCACTTTGCAAGAATAGCACGTTAACTTATCTGGATCTTAATTGTAATAGCATTGGATCAGAAGGTGGAAAAGCATTAGCAGATGCACTTTGCAAGAACACTGTGCTGACTTCTTTGAATCTTGAAATTAATAAACTTGGATTAGAAGGAGGAAAAGCATTAGCAGATGCACTTTGCAAAAATACCACATTAACTTCTATGGATCTTGTTAGTAATGAAATTGGACCTGAAGGAGGAAAAGCTTTAGCAGGTGCACTTTGCATGAACACTACGCTGACTTCTTTGAGTCTTAGTTCTAATGATCTCGGATCTGAAGGAGGGAAAGCATTAGCAAATGCACTATGTAAGAATTGCACATTGACTTCTCTGGTTCTTCGAATTAATAATCTTGGATCAGAAGGTGCAAAAGCATTAGCTGATGCACTTTGTAAGAACACCACGCTAACTTCGTTGGATCTTTGGAATAATGATCTTGGATCAGAAGGTGGAAAAGCATTGGCAAATGCACTTTGTAAGAATACCACATTGACTTCTTTAAATCTTAATTATAAAAATTTTGGACCGGAAGGAGGGAAAGCATTAGCAAATGCACTTTGCAAGAACACGACGTTGAAAGAATTATATATTCGTGATAACGATATTAATTTTATTATAAATTCAAATAATCCAAATATTAAAATATATCAATAGAAATAATTATATCAATATTTATAAACGTAATATGTGAAATATAGTAAAACCTAATTATTTAGAATGTAATAAAATAATTAGAAAAACTTAATAAATTATTAAACACATAATTTTATGCGTTGTTTGTTTAACTGTTTTACTCGTTAAAGAATGCAGTTCCATTCTTAAAAAAAAAAACTCGAAATTGGTTGTAAAAACGTGTTTAAAGTAATATATTGTAATACAAGGTTCTGATTATCATTTTTTTGAAAGAACATAATCTTGATAAAGTTAGCTATCATGCTGTTTGACTTAATCAGGAGAATGTCCTTTCGGAAAATTCTCGTAAATATAGATGTGTTCTAACTTGATGAGAATCAAAATCGGGACAGTCCCGGGTGAGAATTTATAATTTTGGACCAGACTATGTTAACTAAAAAAAATTTTTTTACTGCTATTATCAAAATTCCTGGAACACCTCACAAAATTAGCCGAATAATTTTTCAGCGATTTGATTGGTATATAAATTACATAAATTATAATTCACATTACGTTTGCGCACAAACTAAACACACTAAACATGTTCTAAATATGTTCTAAACATGTCAAGTAAGTGTTCAAACGAAAATTTGATTATGTTGAACGTGTTGATGTCGTGCTTAAAGTTGACATCTGCTTGAAATTACCAATTTATGCACACTAACAAAATTAACCCCTGAAATTAGACCTTCCTTGCTCGCGTTATAGTTAGTAATTTTAGGCAGTTTCAACTTCAGGCGCTTGAAGTTACAGCTTCAAACAGATACTAACTTCAAGCACGACATTGACATTTATAATGCCAAAATTACATATTAAACAAGTATAACATGTAACAGGCGTGCGATTTTTGATATTTGAATAACGTTGGCTAAATTTTCATAAAGCTGGTAAAAATTAGGTACGTACATGCATATGTACGATTTTGCCGAAATTACAAACTTAATCGAATTGGCCAAAAATCGCTCCAGGAATTATGATAATAGCAGTAAACTTAATTCCTAATTCCGCATCTGGGCGGCCCGATTCCGAATGGGAACTGGGACACAACATAAAAATTTCAAATTTATGTCGAAAAGCATCTCACGACGTGATATATTTATTATTATTAACTAGAAGCATCTGACTGATAGTGGCAGACATTAAACTTTATTAAAAGATTCTTCGCCGGGTGTTACCGTCTTCAGCTGAATTCGTGTAATTATATGTGTAATGATAGTCAGTGGTTTCCCGCACTGCTCCATCTAAAATAGGAGAAAAAATCAGCGGTGTCAATACCGGATAAAGTTCACTTTCTTCTTACTTTTTGGCTAAATAAGTGAGAAATAAGGGACTCGATTTCATGATGGTATTATTTCCGAACCACATCAGGTCTTCGTTTGACTAACCTATTACTAAATTGCCCTCTCATTTTTGAAGATAGCGAAAGATTCACAATGAAGCTACGGGTCGGACTAGAAAAAAAGACAAAAAGTAAGCAGTAGTCAAAAGATATCATTGACCCACTATTACAACTTACTCATATAGCGAGGTGAATTCATTTGCGCAATATTTATTTAAAACAGATAACAATGATGATGAATCACTTGATGCTTGTTGTGAATAAGATTCGGAAAAGATGCCCATAGGGGAAGATGACACATAGTTGGATGAATATGATTCCTCTTCGACCCTTTCTGCATCCTGATCTTCATCATCGTCCTTTTGCTCTTGGATTTATGATTATTTATAAAGGATCTGCAATGTTTTACATATTTGCATTAATTTTAACATACCATCAAAATTTTCTTATCCGGCAAACTCTTATGATCATGAATTGCCATCTGTCTCGTTATTTTTTTTTTACGTATTACGATGTAATCATGTTTATTCAAATTAAAACTCAGTCAATGACTCCCTACCAATCATGATCATAAATTGCCGGATAACACCAATATTGGGCAAATTGCCAAATTACCGTTATTTACCAATTTTTGCCAAATATTGTATACATCATCTGCTTTGGAGACGTATTTGTGTCAGGCTAAAAAGAAAAGAACTCAATGCTTACTATCAAACAAAAACATTTTACTAAAGAAAATAATAAAAGATACTATACTTGTTTTTTGTCCTCTTCTGAAATTATTGTTTCTTGTCTAAGGTGTTTGGATAAACAATCATTTTTCACATCTGTATTTTCGACAAATCTGTCATATGCACATGCCTTCAACTTCGATTCATATAAAGCTTATTTTGAGTTCACGAGAGTTTTGGTGGCATATGCAAGACTGTCAGTTGCATTCGTGCCAACCTGTCAAATAGGTTGGTCTAAATATATATATATATTTATTTAACGGAGATTAATTGACGTACCTGCGTATCAAAGTCTTTTAAATAATGAGGTGACTTCTATGCGTTGAAATGAACGTTTTACAGTATTATTCAGCCTAAGGGCTTTGTCTTTTGCTTTTTTAAGCGATGACATAGATGAGATTATTGAAAATAAATGGTTCTTGTATTTGTCAAAATTTCCATCATGATCTCCTGATGTCAAATACGCACACACTTTTACTAAATATTCTAGACAACCTATATAACCTCAGGCTTCAATCTCTATGTTACTTAAATAGGAAGAAATCCCACTTGAAATATCCATCTATAAAAAAATTTAGGATAATTTAGTTACTAAGAAATATAGTAATGTAAGCATTAACTATAAGAAAATCACGGTAATAGCATTGACAAAGATGAGTTTCTGGAAAGAGTTCCCTTGCAACGAATCTATCTAAGGAGATTACAACTATAATGAGTCCTAGTAGATACAGGCGTAGGTATATTTTATGATGCCTTCAGAGCGTGGTAACATAGACATACTGACCTTTTAAAATGTTCTCGCCCACCTATCTCTGCCTCATTTAGGTATGTGAGCAGTAGATTTAGGAGTGTGGAACTGGAGTGATGCAATGCGCGACGAAAAAAAAACAGAAAAACAAGTGACAAACACATGATTTATATGCAATTTGGCCAATTAGATCGCATGATCAGGTGTAACGTGAGCAAAAAATCATCTTGTGCGCTCTAACAAAAAAAATTCCTTACTAAATTTTGGCATAGATAATGCCTTATTGCGACCCTGACAATAATCCTGACAATAAGGCTTATTGTCTTAAATCTCTCGCTTTACTTGATTGTTTTGATTGTTACTGATTGGCTGTAGCCATGTGCCTGCAACTTTTTTTCGCCGTGGGTAGGGTAGCACAAGCAGTGTTATTAATGTCTTGATTTGCGTGTGTGAGAGTGAAAACCTGGAAACTGATTTAATGATTTACTATGATCGGTTTCCAGGTTTTCACTCTCACACACTCATTTGGAATTTTAAACCTCAGTTATTTAACCTGTTCAGGACAAGACATTTTTTCAGCTTGGTTCAAATTTATTTATACTGATTTTATACGATTTATATACTGACACTATAAACCACAATAAAAAAATTATGAAAGACATACGTAAAAGTATAGCGATTAAGTAAAAAAAAAATGTTGATAATGTAAAAAAATATATATATAAAAGTGTAGAGGTTGGATCCGGATACATCCGGATACTTTTATAATCATCCGTTATAAATCCGGATATCCGAAATTTTTTTAAATTTTAGATTCGGATACTATCCGGATAATATTCAGATAGTATCCGGATACTATTCGGATACTATATAGATAAATTATAATCTGTTATTTTGTGCTAGTTATATAATTTTATCCGGCAAACTCTTATGATCATGGATTTCCATCTTCTGTCTTGTTATTTTTTTCATATGTTAGATGTAATCATGTTTATTAAAATTAAAATTCAGCCAATGACTCCCTACCAATCATGATCATAAATTGTCGGATAACACCAATATTGAGCAAATTGTTGAATACGATAATTTGGCTCAACCAAGCAAATGATTGGTTCATGTGCCACTTAGCGGCACATGTTCGTTTGCTCCGGTTTGCCAAACTACCGTTATTCAACAATTTTTGCCTAATATTGTATACATATATATATCATTATAAAAGTGTTTATAATGTTCTTAAAGCTTAATACTTATTTATTTTAAATTTTGATATTTAAGTAAAAACATATATATAATCTTAATTAAATAGATCTTGTCAATATTTAAATTTAATTTGTTAATTTAATAAAATAAAACAGATTTTGCCAATATATATATAAAAATAAAAATATATTATATTTAGATATTTTTAAGCATATTTATAATTTTGATCAAAATTAGTTTAAATCATAAATAATAAAATTTTAAATAAGACTTATCTTACTATGTTATATAATTATCTTAATTTGGTCAGATTGATTCTATATATTTTATATTTCTTTTTAAAAATACTATAGAAAGAGCATACAATTGGTTACACATGTAACTTTTCTATATTATCTATTTATAAAGTTTGCCTAAAGGTTTACTACCAATTGCTATATCTAACACTTCTGCTTGGGTATTTCACTTTAAACCCTTTGAACCTGCAAACCTATTAACTTCACTGGGTCATACCTAATGCCCAGATCATTGTTTCAATCTTAGGACTATTTTATTCTTGAGATAAACCTCTTAGAATCTTCTGTACCCATTTTTATAACTGATTTAGATATCATTATAGCAGAACCAACACTTGCAGTCAGGACTTAATCATTAAACTGTTATGTCCTTGTAGAGTTCACTTAGACCCCAGTATCTACTTCACAGTATAACCCCAGTACTTTAGTATATTTCTATTTTTTTATCTGTCTTTTTACCAAACTTCTAATCCAAATATCCTATGTAAGACTAAAACCAGTCTATTGATATATCATATTAGCTTGATATCTTTTTCTTCTAGTTCATTCTGGTGGCCTGGTTAGTGGCAGTGTTGGAAATCTGTTTTGAAATTTATGTTCTCATAAGAACACAATTATTTAATTTAATATTCTCAAAAATATTTTTATATTCTTAATAACAAAAATTTTTGTTATCATTTTTTAAATTTTTTGGATAATTTTAGTAATTTATTTAAATTTTTGTCCCAAACTTGCTTATCTTTTATATTTATTCTAAATTTTTTGAACTTAACTTATTTTCTAATTGTTAACTTCATTTGTACTATACTATATAGAAAACATATTTATTAAGTAATATATTCTTAATAATTTTTTTAGAAAAAACATATTTAAAGTAATAAATGTTCTCAAATCTAAAAATATGTTTTCTTGAAAACATAAGAACATTAGATTTCTTATACTGATTAGTGATACTTCTGAGACTCCCAACTCAGAGATTTTTACCTATCTGGTTACTATAACTGGATACTACAACCTTGGTATTCATTTCTTCAGGCTAGTCTTTATAATAGAACCATCAAAGATCCAACTATTTCTCTATTTAGATCTTTTTAAATAAATTTTTTGTTACCCAATTTCAACAGATTTATATAATCACAAGGATTTATTTAGTGTTTGTATTACCTGATTGCTAGTTTGCATTCCTTTATGTAACCACTTATCTTGTTCCAAAGGACAATGTTATATGACTTACATAAATATTCCATGATCTGCCAGTTATGCTAATGCAACCATCATTATAGGTATCCTAATCCAATTATTAGTAACAGTTGCTATAATACAAATATTACATAGGTAATTATTCAAATTTTC